GGGGGGGGGGGATTTGTGAAGAGCACCCTCGCACTAACAGAACTTCACGTTCGGGTGGCCCTTAGAACAATCTCAGTCTTGTGCACATATATGTCCATACACTGCCCACACTTGTGTAAGTGGTAATCTGTATTCCAATCTCTGTGCTTGTACCATTGTTATGGGTGTAGAGAGCAAGTACCTCAATTTCACAGCCAGATCTCTCACAAATTTCTCGGACTGGGCAAGAAATGGAGGGATAAAGGTGTCAATGTGTATTCTGCCCTTTGTAATTCATTATTTTAAAAGTGAAAAATAGCTTCATATTGAATTCTAACTTCGAACGGGCAGCCCGTGAACAACATTACATGTCATTATACCCGCTATTGCGCGTGAGGGAACATTCTATCATTGCTAAGTGTTGAGATTAAATTTCACAGAAATTATCTCTCTCATTTTATCGTGAGATATTATTTCTGTGTATATTTCTTAATTGTACTCGGTCGTAGATTTCGAGTTACTGCACGTTCCGACCACCCGCTTCACGGCTTCGATGTAGGGACCTTCATAAGAGCTTCCAAAAGTATAATAGAAGGTTGAAAAGGGAATTAGTTCCTCGTTTTCACAGCCAGATCTCTCACAAATTTCTCGGACTGGTCAAGGAATGGTGGAGGGATAAAGGTTGGCAGTGATAAAGGCAGTTGTGGCTTGTGAACAAATGTTCAGAGTGGGCAAAACGGAACTAAACAGCGCTGCGGATGGTGGGAAGGGGGCATGCGGGCCAAGCCCCACCTCAAACACATTTTTTGTTAATATTATTCAATTTAATCAAAATAAATGCCTCACGGGTATCAATACTTTCCAAAGCATTATTTCCATGAAGCACACGCAAACGTGATTTCAGAAGTGTTGCGAGCTTGTATTACTCTGACACGGTCAACAATAAAACTTCACTATCTGTTAGTCATTTGTATGAATCATACCACGAATGATTGAATTTTCTTGCATTTTCCTTGACAGCAAGAAGTAGTATAACCGCACTCCACTGGCAGTAGGAGTTTCTTCGGACCATTGTCCAAAATTTGTCTCATTTCTACATCGTCAAGAAGAGAAAACTATGTACTCGTACATAGTAGTTCATTCACTGTATTTGTCGCAATATTAACGTAAAATCAGATTTAAGTTTTAAAGAATCAAGTAACAATAATGATTTGCAGCATCCTAAATCAGCACGTACTTTCTCGCCTTTAGTAATAGGTAATAATATTTATACCACAATTTCTCTCCGAATTCACACATCTGTTTTTTTATAAAACTCATTTGAAATCGTAGAACATTTGGTGCGAAAATTAAATAATTTCAAGCAATAGACTTTTTTATTCAAAACTTTTAATGAAAATATATTTTTGGCATTGAATTCATTGTATAAAGTATGCAGTGTATTCACGAACATGTCAGATGTGTTTTTAGCCTTACAATATTCTTCGTAAGCAGTATGCGAGAAGGTAAAATAATAAAAAGTTAATAAATGATACGATACTTATAGCGTTGGCAAAGAAATGCAAAGATAGATAAATATATTCTAGTAGTCTTATTAAACCCTGTGGTACTGTAATATTCTACAAATATATAAAAGTATTAGTTTATATTACCACGAACGAAAGGCAGCCGTCATCGCCTTTGTTATCAATGCGGCGTTACAACAATGGTTAACAACCCACAATGACCACAATGATCCTCTATTCGTTTTCACGTTTTGTTACAAAGGACATTTTAAATGAAAAAACAAACAAATGTAATGAAACGAGGTATGAAATAATTACAAATTCTAACTTACGTAGCAAGCAACTGCATAAATTGGAAGTGGCGACCGAGTGCTAGCAATTTTTATTTCATATTTATTTCAAATAGGTTTTTAATAATTTTTAAATGATAAATTTGTAAACGTATACGAAAAGCTCCAATGTAAGAAACGAGAAAAGAAATAAGAAATACTATACATATTTCAACTTACGTAGCACCCAACAGCCTCAAAACACTTCTAAAATTGCAATCACGAAGCGCAGGATTTTCAGAGCGGACGACCAAATTTGAAGTCCTAATACTCAAAAAACACTCGTATTTTCAAAACCTTTAACGTGATCTTATATGAATATCTACATTTGATGAACACATTTCATTATCATTAAAAAAACATTTTTTTCAATTTTCGAAAAATCAGCGTTTTAAGCGACATGGGACTTGCACCATTTTCTTTAACGTCCTTCATAGTATTCAGCAACAAAATTTCATCAAAAACGATAAAGCCGTTTTTACAAAAGATTAAACCAAATTAAAAATTGCTTATATTTTACACAAAATTAAGCGAAAAATACTCAAATTTCGAAAAATTGTACATCACCTTTCTGTAAAATCGATCTTTAAGTAACAGATTTTATGAAGGGGAAAACATCTCTATCTTTAATATTTTAGTTGTAGAAAGACGCTTAAAAAAATTTGAATTTTTGCAATTTTCGTAAAATTAGAGTTTTCAATGAAAACGAGGTCTGCACCATTAGGGCTCTTTACACGGGGATTCTTAGCCACGCGTTTGACCGGGACGTTCCTGACCACATCTAGTGCGCACGGGCAGGACCGTGCTGCGCAAAGTGTGGTTCTTATTTCTGTCACGCTTCTGCGCGCCACTCGACGAGTCGAGTAAAATCGTCCGTGTTAAAGACCTCAGCAGCGTTCTCGAGCGCGCTCTTGTGCGGCGCGCGGAATTTCCGAGATCCGACGGTCCCCCGTGCGTTCCACGCTCCTCGCTGCTGCAGCTGCTACTCTGTGTTGGTGCAGTTATAAATGTTCTAATCGTGTAACGTGTTATCCTGTGGTGTTTATATGATGTATAATGACTGTAGTATGTGAGATTATTATTTTTCGATTAGCTTAATCAGAAATGTCCGTTCACAATTATCGTAACAGGAAAATTATAGCAGTACTTGGAATTGGTGCCACTACACTATACCAAGAGGAAATTGGGAGGAAAAAACGCACTGTTGGGGTAAAAAGTTAGACAAAAATATGACCACATGTCGCTGTTGAAGAAATTAATGGAGAACTATCCTGATGACTTCTCGTACCCCTCATTTTTAAAATTCTTATTAGTATACACAGAACTTTTAAGCTTTCATAGACTA